AAAATCGAGGTTTTAAAATCGGTCGTAAGGTAGTCGATTTTAAAAATGACGCGGTGACAATTTTGTAAATAATGACATTATTTTTAAAATTGACTACGTTATGACCGATTTTAAAAGTCTTTGACGCTACTTTTAAAATCGGCTGTTGAACAGCCGATTTTAAAAGTGGGACTTTTAAAATCGACTCTTGAACAACCGATTTTAAATTTCCACTTTTAAAATCGGCTCTTAACAGCCGATTTTAAAAGTTCACTTTTAAAATCGGCTACTGAACAGCCGATTTTAAAAGTAGCATCAGAGGGTTTTTCTATACTATCTCCTCCCATTGCTCCATTTTCTACTTTTTGGCTTCAATATCATATATTCTTCTCTTTACTCTCTAGGACTTTCATCTGAAGTGTGCAGCTTCTCATTTTGTTGGAAGAATACAACATCAAGGTAACATTCTCGTATTATGTCTCTTATTTCGTTATATTATTTATTATGAATCATGATCACTTTTATTTTTCTGCCATTATTATTTTTGTTTTTCTTTTGGATTACTCATTTTTGTCGCAACCAAGTTGTGGAAACAGGAACTTGTCTCTTTTGATTTTGTACGCTGTTTTACAATTCGGAGATCTTGATTTTGTTACCTTGGTAGAAATCTGATTTGGTCGCGTAATTTAGAACCATTCCTTCATTTTCCAACCACAAGAATATATTGATGACCAACAATGGAAAATTGTGGAACTTCAACATCGACATAGCTTCTAAAAGAATGAGTTCTGATTAAGCTTTGGTTCTAGAAAACAACAACTTTAAGTCTTAACTATTAGATAAGTAAGTTGTTTTAAAAAAATTACTTTATTTTATTTATCATTACATTTTATTTTAAAATATAATAATGATGTCCTTTTATCATTAGGGTTATGGAAGGATACCATATACTTAAAGGTTCAAAGTTGAAGAAAAAATGCTTTGGGTCTCTCTTAAAATAAGTTAAATATTTAAAAAAAAATTAACCACTTTTAATATCGGTCATGGCATGACCGATTTTAAAAGAGGGACTTTTAAAATCGGTCACTGTTGACCGATTTTAAAAGTCCCACTTTTAAAATCGGTCGACGACCGATGTTAAAAGTCTCACTTTTTAAAATCGGCTCTTTTAAAATCGGTCAGGAAACTGATTTTAAAAGTAAAAAATGACCGATTTTAAAAGTGTTTTTTTCACTAGTGATGACTCCCACAGACTTACTAAAATTCGAACAGACTTCAAAATTTTATGAAAATAAAAAGATGTACTTACATATTACTTATCAAACCAACAAGATCCAATATGAGAGTTTATTAGAAAAGTACTTACAAATTACTCACTAACTAACAAGGTTCTCACATTAATGATAAAAATTAAATTCATATCTTTTTTTAATACAAGTTGAGTTTCGAAAGTTTACTAAAATTAGGTCAGACTTCAAAGTTCTAAGAAAATTTAAAGAGATGCTTTATATACAAATTATCCATCAAAACAACAAGATCCAATATAAAAATTCTTATAAATTACTTACCAATTATAACAAGGTCTCACATCAATAGTGAGAATCAAATTCATGTCCTGTTAACTATAAATTTATTTTTATTAAATGGTCCAACTTTTATTGATACTTAGTATCTATCTCTTAGAATATAATTGATTATCTAGTATATATATATTGATTATCAAGTATACATTGATGGTTACATTGGTTGAGAATAATATGCGGAAACAGTAAACTATAGTTCTAGAGAGAGGGAGCATTATATGTCGCCAAAGCAACATAGGAAGAGACATAAAACTCTCAACCTTCATTGTTTCCATTACTTCTCATTCAACAGATTCTTTTCAAGTTTAATTTTCAGAAGCAACAATCATTTTATGCAACTTTTTTTATCTTTTCACTTTTTGAATCTTCTATTAAGTCTTTGCCTGAGCATGGATAACAGCTTCGCAAGAGATAGATATGTATTTGCATAAACTCACAAAAGCCAATTGCATATAAATTTGACAATGATTACACGCAAGTTTAATTTTCAACTGTTCACAGATTATTTAACTACATAATAGAGATTTGACAAAATATAGAACTTCATTCAAGATTGGGGCCAGCACAAAAAGAGATTAAAAACTACCCAAATTGCTAAAATTGCCGAGCCTAATTAAGAACATAATTAAAAACATCAAAAACAAAGTACTTGTTGCAACGTAGGGAACAGTATTTATGCAGGAGATTAATGGACTTGTCATTAGTGTAATAAATGTTGGTTTAATTGATAAGTAATAAACTTATTTTTCAAAAAGATTTGAGTTTGATTCTTATTGAATAATATGTAAGTATATCTATAACTTTTTATAAAGTTTTAAGGTCTATCGGACTTTGGTGAGCTCTGATATCCAACTTAAATTTTTTGTTAGAAAAAAAAAAAAAAAAAAAACTATCTCCTTATATAAAAAAGTCAACATGGATTAGTCAACTTTAGAAGTAGGTAACTAATTTGAGATAGTTACAAACAAACATGACCAAAATTTTGTTATGCATCCCTTAATCTTTGGATTACATGCCCACAATAGTCAGATTTATGTAGCAGTTACGTAATAACTATTTTTTTTTTATCTTATCTGTTTTAACTTATTTTATTTACGAATATTTCATCTTGAAGATAACATTTTGACACTTATTTAAGTGGATACATGTATAATTGTTTAAAGTTAGTTCATTATTCATTGTTAAATTACTTCTCATTTAATTATTAGAGTCTCTTCTACATATAGCTACAAATTTGGATAAGAAGATCAATTTTACAAGAAAAAGAAAAATTATTTTAATAATTGTTGTTTAAAAACAATTGACAAACTATATTGAAACAATTTAAATACTTTTATTAATATCTTAAAACTTAATTTTAAAAGTCATTAACTCATTATATGTAAAATTAGATAATTTTGTTTTTGTATTTCTTGACATCTTTATTTATCTAAATTTAATTTTAGACGTTTGAAACAATCACACAAATGTGTTTATGGATTTATCTGTATAACTTTTTATAGGAACACTCTTGGAAGAGAAAAAAAACATAAAAGAACAACAAAATAATTTTTTTCATAAATTAAAATTAGCTTATATAATAAACTAATAATTTAAATATATTTTTAGTCCCTTAAATTTAGGATAAATTTGTTTTTCTCCCTCAAATTTAAAATGGTTGTTTTTAGTTCCTATAATTTTAAAAAAAATATTTTAGTCCTTATATTTAAATTTTGTTAAAAAATTTATCAACCATGATTACATAAAATCATATTGATATCCTTGTTAGTGAAAACATTATATTAAATCTAATTGATATTGTAAAATCGTTTTAATTTATTATTTTCAGAGATATGTTATTAGTGATCTAAGAGACTAAAATAATATTTTTGAAAATTACAGATATTCAAAACAACCGTTTTAAATTTGAAAACCAAAACTAATTTTATTTTAAATTTGAGAAAATTTCTACAAATTTACTTATGCATAAACTAATTTTAACTTATGGATAAACTCATTTCATATTTTCTTCTTCTTTTTTTTTCTTTCTAAAAACAGATAAGTTTATAAAAAAGACTATTTTTTTATTAATTAAAAACGTTAGAGATTCCATGAAAAGGCGACTACTATTTTCATTTCATATTTATTAATATTTTAATTTTTTCTTCAAAATTATTGACGTTTTACGAACTTAAAATATTATTAATTATTTTTCTACCTTTATTTCTTTTAACGATTATAATATAATAATATTTTTTCATCACTATATTATTAGTTTGAATAATTATTTTTAATAAAATCTCTTCTTTTAATTACTTTTTTTTCTTCTTTTGTTTGCACGAGACTGATATAAATATTTTATATTTTAAAATGATTCTTATTTTGCATGCACTAATTTATTTATTTTTACAATTATGTTATTAGCGTTACTTCTTTTCAATCAATGATTAATTTTTAATAAAAAAAATTCTGCTTAGTCATTTTTAGTAAAATCTTCTCTAATTACATATTATGAGAAAGATTATAATAATATTAGTGTAATTTTTACCAAGTATTATACTATTCAATAATTTTATATTAAATGTAAATTTTATAAATTCATCCGTTAGATTAAAATTTCACATCACTTTATATGTTTATATCAAATTTTATTAAAATTGAACAATAACTTAAAGGTAATTAAAGTGTTCATATTTTAATATATTTTAAAATATACATATTACGTCAATTTTGTTTTATAAAAATAAAGTATTAAATCATCTTAGATTAATATAAAATTTTGTACATATAATCTAAGAATAAAAAACTTTGAAACTAACTGTTAAATTTACAAAATTTACATTTAATATAAATTTGTTAAGCAATGGAATACTTAGTAAAAATTACATAAGTATTATTATAACCTTTCTTATTATTCATATCCATAGAATTCAAACTCAAAATTTTAATTTTAAAATATATAACAAATTTTAAACTTCAGTGTATATATATATGAAAGGGAAATAGTATTTGAAATAATTGGGTATTGACCTCTGCATAATGGGCATGAACAAATTTGTGTACACAAAACATGGTACCAAAATTGATCCTTCCTTTACACGACACCTAAGAACACCCGTGAACTCTTTCTGGTCGTTTCTCTTCCACGTGCTAAAGTACGGCCACCTTTAATTTGCAACAAAATTTTGCATGCATCCAAAACTATATTATCTTGCCAAAAATGTTTGACCCATAATTTTTTACTCATACTTTATATTTTCATTTTTATTATAGTTATGTGTTAAGATTGAAAACTAAAATAGACCCGTCATGTGAAGAAGGCACACATTAATTTTGCTGTATGATAAGGCCAGTGGAAACACATCCACAATTTATTTATTTTTATATGCTTTGCCATAAGAAATTATTATCATGTAAAAGTTGAGGTTGACTTGGAGCAATAGTACTTTGGCTGTCCTCTAATTTTCTTCAAATAACCAATTATTATTCTCTCTTCAGGGATTTCTATATAAACAGCATCTCCACAAGTATTCAACAAAATTCACTCTCTAATTCTTTTGTCAGCTTTCAGATCTCTCTTGTTTCAATTTCTTCAACATCATGAAGTCCAAATCTTCCCTGCAATTGTTCATCATCCTTTTGGTTTTTTCATTTGTCCTCTCTTCTGCTGCTCTCCAAACACCTAGTAAGATTCAAACTAAGCTTCAATTTTCCTAAAATTAACATGGAACTATATTTCATCTCTCTTTCTCTTTTATTTTCAATTGGTTTTAAATTTTTAATGCTATGTTGAACATGAAATTTCATTGTTTGCAGGAAGGCTTCTCCCAAACACAGAAAAACTCTCAACCCAAACTACATCAGATCATAAGGTAATTAACAACATGGACCCATATGAACATAATTTAATCCTAGTCCTGACAATATATTCCATAGTGTTCCTATATGCATGAGGGTCCATATTTTGATTTTAATTCCAGGTTTGTCTCAAAGGGGTCTAATGGAGTTCAATTTTGTGTCCAAATTTGCAGGGTGCTAAGAAATTTTGGAATGGAGAAGAAATGTTTGACATGGTAGAGGGAAGGGTTGATTTGGAAAGTGATGATTATCCAGGTACAGGTGCAAACAACCGGCATGATCCAAAGACACCTGGAACACCTTGAGCAAATGCATAAATTTTGTAAATATTATAATTAAGGTCTTAGAGAATTTAATGCAACAAACTTGGTATATGGGATTTGCATATTGTTAATTCTTGCTGCTAGAATATTCCTTCATCCAATATTTTGTTCTGGATGAATGTGTTTGTCTGTAGTGGGGTTGCTGAGCTATTTTGGCTTAGGTTTGTGGGGGTAAATTTAAGTGTCTTGTTTGGTTATTTCTGTAAACTTTAGAGCTCAAACAAATAGTGACAGAAACTCCAATTCTCTAGAGTAATTAACATGCTTTTTTTAAATATATTTTTTATTAATTAAAAAGTTATAACAGTAAACATAAATTTTCATGTATATACTTCAAATCAACTATTAGGTGACTCATGCATTCCATTAAGATAAATTTGTTTTGATGTTACAATGGAAGATTTTAGTTTGTTATTCTTAGTAAACATAACTGTTATAGTATTACGCTAATTTGATCCCTAAAATTAAGAGTAGAAATAAGGTAACTAAATTGGTCTCCCATTTGTATTTTGCTCACTACTACGTTGGTGATTTCTGGTGTATGCAACTATCCATTATCTTTTGGTTATTATATTATTATATATAATTTTAAGTTACCTTATTTTTATCAATAAGAAACAACCTTTAATTTTGAACTCTCTCCCTTGTTGTGTCCGCCACATTATTATCAGGGTTTTCCTGTTTAGTTCGATTTTTAACTTAAAAATCATCTGAATTAAATAAATAAAAAATATTCTTTTTAAAAATAATTGATAAAAATACTCTCATTCAAAGCAATTATTTTATTTATATAAACAGAAAAAAAAAGTCAGTTTGAGTTTTTGAAAATAAAGGATTACTTTTTTAAAATTTAATCGTTACAATTACAACTTACAAAACATACTTGTATTTTTATTTCAAATCCACATACTAAATATTTATTATATGCAACTAAACTTTATAATAAATTATATATACAAATAAATATTATATTTGAACCAGAAGCCCAAAACAAGCTGGTTTTAGAAGACTAGAATGGGTTGTTCCAAAACCGAAATGGGCCGTTCCCAATTTGGAACGGGCCGTTCCAAACTCCTCAAAAAAAAGGGTAAAAGCTTAACTGGAACGGGGTTGGGACGGGGCTGGGACGGGCCGTTCCTAAACCGGTACGGGCCGTTCCTAAATCTGGAACAGGCCGTTCCGGTCTAAGTAATCACGTGTTATTCTCACTACTGGAACGGGCCGTTCTGATTTTGGAACGGGCCATTCCAGTATACGAATTTTACACTCAACAGCCAGATCCAGAACGGGCCGTTCCGATTTTGAAATCTCTCACCCTATCTCTTCGTTCTTTGTATGGAGCGCCTTGGCATTATGATTCAGCAAGAAGTGGAAGAGGGTACTTGGAAACCCATCCAATTAACCAGACATGGCCCAAAATTGTCCCATATTTTTTTTGCAGATGATGTGTTGTTGTTTGCTAAAGCAGAAAAAGAGCAGGCTATCACTATCAATAGAGTTTTGGAGAGCTTTTGTCATATGTCTGGTTTAAAGATTAGCATTCAAAAATCCCGAGCATTGGCTTCGAAGGGTGTGACAAGTCAACGAAAGGAAGCAATTACCACTGTTACTCAAATCCGTATCACCTCTAGGATTGAAAATTACCTGGGGTTTCCTATGTTTCAAGGTCGAATCCATCGCCGAGATTTTATGGCACTTATTGAAAGGGTGAACTCAAAGTTGACTGGCTGGAAGAGTGCATTGTTAAACAAGGCAGGCAGGGTTACTCTCGCCAATGCAGTTCTCACGGCATTACCTTCCTATGCATGCAATTATATTGGTATCCTCAATACATTTGTAATTTTATTGACAAGTCAGTGCGTTCTTTTATTTGGCATAGTAGGGAAGGTAAAGGCCCACACATGGTAGGATGGGACAAGCTCACTCGACCAAAGAATTGTGGTGGGTTGGGGATTCGTACCGCTTGAAACCAAAATACTGCATTGTTGGGGAAGCTAGTTTGGGATCTACTACACCCAACGAATCAACTATGGGTTTTAGTACTCAAGGAAAAATATCTCCTGCAAGACTCACTCTTCTTATCCAAGAAGAAGTCAGGTTCACCAACTTGGAGGGCCATCATTCAGGCGTTGGCTCTTTTGGAAGACGGTCTAGTTCTCAAGTTGGGTAATGGAGAGGTCGATGTTTGGCAGGATGTATGGGTGGGTAAGGAACCACTAGCGACGTCTGTCCCGTGGGTGGATATTCACGATTCTGGGTTGCGAGTCAAAGATATTTGGGATGGCACCTCATGGCGATTGGACCAGCTTTACACACCTTTGTCTGAGGCTCTTCGTCTCAAGATATATTGTTTAACTCCGCATCTTGTCGTAGGTGTGCCAGACTTGTGGACTTGGGCACCTGATATCTCTGGGAAGTACACGGTACGATCAGCTTACAGGTGGCTAACAGAGGATCATGGGTTGGAAACCTCTGCAGGTTGGAATTGGATTTGGAAGTTGCCACTTCCAGCTAGTTTGTGTTTCTTTCTTTGGCAGAGTTGTCATCTGGCTCTACCTATTAAGGAGGTTCTTTGTCAACGTGGCATCTTGGCTTCCAATACCTGCCCTAAGTGTAACTCTGCCGTTGAAAGCTTTGAGCATTGTTTCTTTACTTGTCCAATGGTGCAGGAGGTGTGGAAGCGATCTGGTTGCAATTTCTCAACACCTACTCTTGATGAGACACATCGTAGTTGGCTTGAGAAGCGGGTGCAGACGCATGTCTCGTCGAAAAAAAATTCCTAAAAAAAATATCATATAAGATAGAGATTCTTATATAATATATAAAAGTTAAGGAGTTGATTGTTATGTGATTAAAATATTTTAATTTATTAGTATTTTAGCATGTATAATACACATATATATTTATTATATATAATTAAAAATTTATAATAAATTATTTATACATATAATAAATATTATGCTTAAATATATAAATTAAATTTAAAATTAATATACATAAATATTTTTAAATATATAAAATAGATGTTAAGTTCCAATCCACCTGATCAAAGATGAGTCTGTTCCTGTGGCACCAGATGAACCACATGATAATTATAAACAGAGCTCCATGCGTCTGCACCCGCTTCTCAAGCCAACTACGATGTGTCTCATCAAGAGTAGGTGTTGAGAAATTGCAACCAGATCGCTTCCACACCTCCTGCACCATTGGACAGGCAAAGAAACAATGCTCAAAGCTTTCAACGGCAGAGTTACACTTAGGGCAGGTATTGGAAGCCAAGATGCCACGTTGACAAAGAACCTCCTTAATAGGTAGAGCCAGATGACAACTCTGCCAAAGAAAGAAACACAAACTAGCTGGAAGTGGCAACTTCCAAATCCAATTCCAACCTGCAGAGGTTTCCAACCCATGATCCTCTGTTAGCCACCTGTAAGCTGATCGTACCGTGTACTTCCCAGAGATATCAGGTGCCCAAGTCCACAAGTCTGGCACACCTACGACAAGATGCGGAGTTAAACAATATATCTTGAGACGAAGAGCCTCAGACAAAGGTGTGTAAAGCTGGTCCAATCGCCATGAGGTGCCATCCCAAATATCTTTGACTCGCAACCCAGAATCGTGAATATCCACCCACGGGACAGACGTCGCTAGTGGTTCCTTACCCACCCATACATCCTGCCAAACATCGACCTCTCCATTACCCAACTTGAGAACTAGACCGTCTTCCAAAAGAGCCAACGCCTGAATGATGGCCCTCCAAGTTGGTGAACCTGACTTCTTCTTGGATAAGAAGAGTGAGTCTTGCAGGAGATATTTTTCCTTGAGTACTAAAACCCATAGTTGATTCGTTGGGTGTAGTAGATCCCAAACTAGCTTCCCCAACAATGCAGTATTTTGGTTTCAAGCGGTACGAATCCCCAACCCACCACAATTCTTTGGTCGAGTGAGCTTGTCCCATCCTACCATGTGTGGGCCTTTACCTTCCCTACTATGCCAGATAAAAGAACGCACTGACTTGTCAATAAAATTACAAATGTATTGAGGATACCAATATAATTGCATGCATAGGAAGGTAATGCCGTGAGAACTGCATTGGCGAGAGTAACCCTGCCTGCCTTGTTTAACAATGCACTCTTCCAGCCAGTCAACTTTGAGTTCACCCTTTCAATAAGTGCCATAAAATCTCGGCGATGGATTCGACCTTGAAACATAGGAAACCCCAGGTAATTTTCAATCCTAGAGGTGATACGGATTTGAGTAACAGTGGTAATTGCTTCCTTTCGTTGACTTGTCACACCCTTCGAAGCCAATGCTCGGGATTTTTGAATGCTAATCTTTAAACCAGACATATGACAAAAGCTCTCCAAAACTCTATTGATAGTGATAGCCTGCTCTTTTTCTGCTTTAGCAAACAACAACACATCATCTGCAAAAAAAATATGGGACAATTTTGGGCCATGTCTGGTTAATTGGATGGGTTTCCAAGTACCCTCTTCCACTTCTTGCTGAATCATAATGCCAAGGCGCTCCATACAAAGAACGAAGAGATAGGGTGAGAGAGGGTCGCCTTGGCGGAGTCCTCTGATAGATTTGAACCCATCCAATTTGTTGCCATTCCAAAGTAGAGACAAACTAGTAGAGGTAATGTCATGCATGATTAGTGAAACAATTCATTCCGGAAACCCATATAACTTGAGGGTTTGTTCAAGGAAATCCCAGTCAAGCCTATCATAAGCTTTCTTCAAGTCAAGCTTGAGTAAGAAGTCACCAGTTTTGCTCTTTGATTTGTGCATGTGATGAACAACCTCTTGAAGAACTATAGCATTATCTTTTGTGCTTCTTCCTGGAATAAAGCTATTCTGCCACGAATGAATAATGGAGTCTAAGTAGGGGCGTAATCTACTCACTAGGACCTTAGACACTAGTTTGTAAATTACATTACAAAGGCTGATCGGGCGAAAGTCTTTGAAAGTGCGTTGACTCTCGCCTTTAGGAATGAGAACCAATAAGGTGTTAGAGACACTAGCCAGAAAGTTGCCAGTGGAAAAAGCCTTTGCGACAAAACTCCAAACCATATCACCTACATCCTCCCAATACATTTTAAAGAATATAGGTTGAAAGCCATTAGGTCCTGGGGCCTTGTACGATTTCATGCTTAGAAGAGCCTGATACACCTCTTCTTTGGTAATTGGGGCGAGAAGATGCATATGAGCCTCTGAAGGAAGACCTCCTGAACTCCAGGCCGTGGCCACAGAACTAG